AGCACAAAGGCTAGTCAAGAGTTGTGAGTACTTGTCACAAGATAGAGGCTACAAGAGAGCAAAGGAGTTGCTAAAGGAAAATTTTGGAAACGAATACAAGATCTCTTGTGCTTACTTGGAAAAAGCCCTATCCTGGTCTCAAATAAAATCTGAGGATTTTAAATCGCTACAGGATTATGCCATGTTCCTTAGGAGCTGCTGCAATGCTATGGAGGAAATGGAATATATGGAGGAGCTGGAAACAATATCCAATATGAGAAGCATTGTGCTCAAGCTACCATACAAGCTTCGGGAGAGATGGCGTAACAAGGCTTATGAGCTACAAGAACAACGTAGTCGTAGGGTAAGGATTTTAGATCTAGTCAGCTTTATTGAAGAACAAGCTCGCATAGCAGCTGATCCAGTATTTGGTGATCTTCAAGATCAGTCAGCTAGTAGAGGAAAAGCTAGGTCCCCAGTCAAACCACAGGCCTCAAAGTCATCTGGCAGTAGTTTTGCCACTAGTATAGCTATTGCCCAAAAGCAAAAGTTTGATCTTTCTTGCCCCTTCTGTAGCTCAAGACACACATTGGACATGTGTAAAGACTTTTTAAAGATAACACATAGAGACAAGCTCAGTTTTATAAAGACCAAAGGCATATGCTTTGGATGTCTCTCCACGGGCCATATTAGCAGAGACTGCAAAAGGCGCCTCAGCTGTAAGGTATGTAAGCAAGCTCACCCTAGTGTCCTACATATTGAGGCCAAAGATAGTATTATCAAAAAGGCAGAAAGATCCTCTGATGTTACAGGCAATGCATCAGCAGGATTATGTGGTCATATAGGGGCCGGAGACCAAGAGAATGTGCTGTCCATTGTCCCAGTTCAGGTTAAGGCAGCAAAGGGCAGCCAAGTCTTACAGGTGTATGCTCTCCTGGACCCTGGATCCTCAGCCACTTTCTGCTCCGAGGATCTTATGTTTCGGCTCAATCTGAAAGGAAGAAAAACACACATTCTTCTACGCACAATGAATCAAGAAAAAACTGTTCCAACTTATGTTGTCTCTGAAATTGAAGTTTCAGCGCTGGACAACAATAACTTCTTACCTCTTCCTGATCTCTTCACTCAAAAGGAAATGCCAGTTACCACAAACAGCATTCCCAAGCAGAAAGACTTAGCACAATGGAAGTATCTAAGTCGAGTCAAACTTCCCAGCATTAATTCAAAGGTGGAGCTGTTGATTGGTACAAATGCTCCAAAGTGCATAGAACCATGGGAGGTTGTTAATAGTCAAGGTGGGGGCCCCTACGCAGTTAAAACCTTATTGGGGTGGGTTGTAAACGGGCCACTGAGAAGTGCTGATGGCAGTGCAGAGAATGTGACGGTGAATAGGATATCCGTTACAAATCTAGAACAACTTCTGATCTCACAGTATAATCAGGAATTCAGTGAGGTAGCATCTGAGGAGAAGACCGAAATGTCAGTTGAGGACAGAAGGTTTGTAGAGATAGCCAATGAGGCAGTCTTACAAGATGGACATTACTATTTGAAGTTGCCTTTTAGGAAAACTGTTGTCTGCATGCCTAACAATCGCCAAGTTGCAGAACAGCGCCTCCAAACTCTGAAAAGGAAAATGAAAAAAGATGAGCAATACAAGCAAGAATATGTTGCCTTTATCAATGACATCTTTGAAAATCATTATGCAGAGGAGGTCCCAGAGGAAGAACTCACACAGGCACCTGGAAAGGTATGGTACATACCACATCATGGAGTATATCACCCCAAAAAGAAGAAACTTAGAGTGGTGTTTGATTGTGCAGCTACTTACAGAGGTGTATCCCTCAACACAGAGCTACTACAGGGTCCTGATCTGACTAATTCTCTTGTCGGAGTCATTTGGAGATTCCGTAAGGAACCCATTGGAATTATGGCTGACGTTAAGTCAATGTTCCATCAGGTGGGAGTAGAGAAATCAGGTGTGGACTACTTGCGCTTTCTGTGGTGGCCATTGGGTGACACCAGTCAAAACCCAAAGGAATACCGTATGCTTGTGCACATATTTGGTGCAGTGTCCTCCCCAAGTTGTGCAAGTTTTGCATTACAAAAAACTGCTGATGACAATGAAAGCTGTTTTCCCCTTCATGTAGCTGAAACTATCCGGCACAACTTTTATGTGGATGATTGTGTCAAATCCGTGGTTGAAGAGTCTGAAGCCATCCAGCTAGTAAAAGACCTCACTGCACTATGCTACAAAGGTGGATTCCAGCTGACTCAATGGGTCAGCAATAATCGGGTAGTTCTAGCATCCATTCCAAAAGAAAAATGGGCAAAAGACATCAAAACACTGGATCTTGACAAAGACAGCCTACCAATGGAAAGAGCCCTGGGATTGCAGTGGTGTGTGGACTCTGACCATTTCCAGTTTAACATCAATGTAAGCCAGAAGCCACATACCCGCAGAGGCATACTTTCTGTTGTAAGTTCCATTTTTGATCCCCTCGGTTTTCTTGCTCCTCTCATTCTCCCAGCCAAGCAGTTGCTACAGGAGCTCTGCCAGATAGGCTTTGGATGGGACGAACCTTTGCCCCAAGCTGTAGTAGACAGGTGGAAAGGATGGACAAACAGTTTAGAGAGAATAAAAAGCTTCAGTGTTGCACGTTGTTTGAAACCAAAAGGCTATGGAACAGCAAAGTGCGCAGAACTACACCACTTTGCTGACGCCAGTGAGAATGGCTATGGCTCAGTGAGCTACATTAGACAAGCTAATGAACAGAGAAGGAGAAGGCGTGCCAGCTGATACAGTCTTTGACGAAATGTAGCGGCAAAAACATTGTTGGGTTTTTCCTGTAACCCCCTGTTAATGTTTCCAACCACCTGGAGAATGCGAGTACCGGGTCAGACTCACAGCCCGAATCCAAGAAAATCCAAGAGTGTTGTTGCTTGAATGATTGTGGATATTTATTGCAAATAAATATAAAGTACAAAACAAAAACTGAGAACTGGTTTAAATGTCTTTAAGCATTCCTTTGTTGCGCTTGGCGTTCAGCTTTCTCACACAGGCCAAGCTTCAGTAGCACAGATCCAGGCCGAGGTCAAAGACTGTATCAGCTGGCACGCCTTCTCCTTCTCTCATGCGCTACACACTCCAACTTATAGGATAGCGCCCTCTCTGGCTGTAGAAGGTGTACCACTCAAATGCAATAGAAAAAACAATTATAAGTAAATTATGAAACCAAAAATAAAACTCAAATGCGGCTCCTACATATCTGTTTTGAAGCATTGTAATATTCTGACAACCACCAATCACAGTGGAGATCAAAATCAAAGCTCATCACACACAGCTTTTCCACAAACTGAGGCAGTTATTACTAATATATTGAGGCTGCACAGTGTCTTTCACACACACACACACACACACACACACACACACACACACACACACACACACACACACACACACACTAAACACCATCATGGTAACACACATGGAATTAAAAAAATGCTATTAACATTCATTTAACAACATTACATGTAACATAAAACCCTGATGTATAACTGATTAGAAAATAACTAAGAAAAACTATGAAGAAATGTAGTTATTTCAACAAAAATGCATCAAAAAAGTGTCACGCATGCAGGGAATTGTGGGAATGTCAATTTATCTTTTTTTACTGCACATTTTACTGTAGATTTTCTGTCAATAATACAATGACTTGTTCCTTTGTTTTAAATGTACAGTTAGATCTATCACAGTTATTCACCGTATATTCTACGGAAACTTTTTTTCACCGTAGCATTTGTGCAGTCTTTTACTGGTAAAATCACGATAATTTTTTACAGTCTAACAATAAAATATTTGCTTAAAGCTTGCTCTATTTTGTTGTAGGCATTGTTAAACCGTCACGATGTCTAGAAGTGGATCTTTCCTGTAGTTGCTGAGACTTGCTGTAATGTGTTGCTACTCTGACTGTGTTTCTGTGTTTTTGTTAATAAAGTCTAATGAAAAGTCCATCATCCTCTGCATCCTTGAGTCCTCCGTACACCCCTTACCTCACCTGACAATAAGTAACGTAGCCTACTGTATATTCAAAATACATGTGCACACCATGTTCTTCATAAATTACATTTATATGCCATATATTTATCAAAAACACATTTTACATTTCATTTTTATATAGACAATCCATACTAAGAATCTATGACATATATATCATGTAAACAATATGCTATGGATGTGTAATTGCATATTACAGCAATATATTTAATGCATTTATTTCAGCATTTATTTTATATGTATTAATTTCTTTATTTTTTGTCTTTCTTTTTTTTAATCTTACTTAATCCAAACTTTTGAATGGCAGTGTGTCATGATTTCCACAAAATAAAAAACTGCAAATATAAATAAACCAGCTAAAACGGTTTTCAACATTGATAAATGATCTTAGAATGATTCTGAAGGATCATGTGACACCGAAGACTGGAGTAAAGATGCTTTGATCACAGGAATAAATTACAGATTACAGACTGGAGACTGTTAGTGTTCACTCACAAATTTATAAGATAAAGCGTTTCACTGTCAGACTGATGATGAGGCGCAGCAGTGGTCACTGGTCACGTGATACTGGCGGCGACTCGGACACACTAACCACAGTCGTTAGAGAATACGGACTGATTTAGGGATTTAAAATAAATATTAAAGATTATACATAAAAAACAAGACAATAAAAAATAGAGAAAAAGAAAGACGTCGAGATATTTGTATGGGGTTCAATGCAGGATTGAGCTGTATGGCACAGCGCCCCCTAGAGGAATACAAACATTTAATTTTATTTCGCAAATAACACATCATTTTTACATTCTGATAAGACACAAATCAAAATGTTCATACAACATATAAATTACAATAGCATAAATTAATAGCAACCTCTGTCTATAATGAAAGCAGCTACGCGCTCGTGAAGTCACGTGATGAGCTTCAGTAACGTGACCGTCTGCAGAAACGGGAAGTTGGGGAATGTGATTCACTCTCAGTCCAGCGGTTATAACTTTGGCATATTCCTTCATGAAGACACATTGTGCGCTCCGTTACAAGACCTTCATCGCCAAGGGATAAAAGCCGGTCTTTGTTGGTGTCGTCGCTCCTGTCGGTGTTTATCCTCCGGTAAGCTTGCAGATCACATTGTTTACACTGGTGTTTTCTGCGCTCGTGACATTGTTTGATACAGATTCTGTGAATACACGACCGTTTCGAGTCTTTTAACGTCATTAAGCTTTAGTTTGATCTTGATCAGTCGCATCTGATGAAAACTGCTTTTCACGAGATTTGATACTTTCAGGAAAACGAAAATGAAACTTTATTGTGGAATGAATAGATTGTAAAGTAACTCCGAGCCAATATAAATGATCCAGTATAAACTGAGCGTTTTTAAAACCGGTCCTCGTTAAAGTAGTTCCTCGTATAATGCAGCAGGATTGCTCCAGAAAGAGGAACTGGAGCCCTGATTTGTATTTTCTGTCAAAACCTATGATGATGCACGTGATCAGAAGGAGATCACATGATCCATATGTCACCTCTAATATCAAACAGAAACCAGGTGTTTATGAAATATGAATATATGAACGGTGTGGAGACCATAAGTGTGGCCCAAATGCACAAATTGAGTAGCTGACACACACCACCCTTTTCCAGTTAACATCAAGATTATAGATGTAAAGATTATATGAATGTAAAAGAGGAAGTGGATACTTTACATGCTGCAACAGGTTACCTTTCCTGAAAGTTTTTCACAATTTTGCATTCACTTAAAAATAGTCCTGCGGTGCGACCATAGTGAGTGTGTGTGTGTGTGTGTGTGTGTGTATGAGTGTGTTTGTGTGTGTCACTCACAGTTTGGGGTGCTTCAGATTAATTTATAAAAGGTCACACATTCCATGTAGTCTCTCGATTAAAATTAAAAGTATTGATGGTTTCATGAAGAACCTTTAACATCCATATAATCTTTGCATTGCACTAAAGCTTCATTAGAGTGGAAAAGGTTTGTTTTTCTTCTAAGAAAAAGGGTTTCTTTTAAGAATGATCGCTGGAGGTTTCTTTGGGGAACTAAAAAAATGAGAAAACCACCTCTATTTTTAAGAGCGTATATAACAATAATTATACGAAAATGTGATGTTTAAAATAGTTTTAGAGGAAGTGTAAGCTCTCTCGCTGCATGTCGCTGCTTGAAATCATCATCTGGCTGTTTTACAATAAAGATTACAGTCGAGATTACAAAAATGCCAAGGAATTTTTCTGATCTTTCCGAAGGCTAGTCTGTAACCCCTCTGCTTTACTAAAGGTGCTGTTATGACACAGTAAAAATCCCTGAAAGAGGAACACACACTCTTATCACACGCTCACTGACTCAGAGCAGAAGAGGAAGCGCTGATGTGTCCAGATGTGTGTGTGTGTGTGTGTGTTTGAGCTGATGTGTCCAGATGTGTGTGTGTCTCAGCTGATGTGTCCAGATGTCTCAGCTGATGTGTCCAGATGTGTGTGTCTCAGCTGTTGTGTCCAGATTAGGGCTGCAACTAACGATTATTTTGATAATCGATTAATCGGACGATTATTTTTTCAATTAATCGATTAATCGGATAAAAATTCAATTAGATTTTTTGTTTATTATGACTAAATAAAACCCGGTTACACTTTATTTTAAGGTGTCCTTGTTACAGTGTAATTATATATTTAAGTACAGAGTAATATAAAGTAACTACATGTACTTACTATAGGAATAGGGTAGGATTAGGTTGAGGGTTAGTTGCATGTAATTATGCATAATTTACTGTTATTACTACAGTAAGTACATGTAACATATGTAACAAGGACACCGTAAAATAAAGTGTTACCTAAAACCCTAAATTAGGATATTTATGTGTAAAAGTGTACTTTAAAAAGTGCAAAAGCCACACATTGAGTTTTACAAATATCAATATTTGCATTGTTTTTAATGATAATTGCTGATGGCAAGTTGACAACCATGATTAATGTAAAAAAAAAAAACATTTATATCCAACATATTGTTTTAACACAATTTTTGTTAAAACAAATTTACAGACATGTTGTTCAGATGTGAAGATATAAACTAAAACCATCTCAAATATATAATTCATTTAATTTTTATTCAAAATTAATTGAATTATAAGGATAATTTGTAAAAAATAAATATAGAAAGACTGAAAACAAGCGTGTGAACGTAGAGCCGCAGTAGATCGCGTTTGAAAAACAATTAAAACTTAATAGTAGACAAATGCTATATAAAGAGTGCAGTGGAGGTACGCAGAAGCTAACAGGCTTGAGTAAAAGGACAGGAAAAATGATGCATTTGTGCACAAACATTCGCTGAAAACCACTGAGTACAGGGACTAAAAAACAATAATGTACTGCTGCTGTTATTAACTGCCTTTATATTTAGTGCTTCGCTTTGTAAAGACCGTTTTAATTTAATATTTCTGCGGTAGCACTATTTTAATCCATCACTTATGTTGCGAGCGAACTGATTGCGCAACCTGATGCTCGAGACGCAAAATACAGACATCCCAAGATCCCGGAAGTTCTGGAAGTCACCCGCATATTGATAGCGGCTCGCAAATTAGTTCAAACTCCCGGGATTTGAGCGCGCAAGCAAGAGCGCGCATGCGAGACAGAAGAGACTGTGCTCCAAACTGTGTAGCGCGAGCGCGCGGCAGAGCAACGGAGGGAGAGAGACCTTGCGTGTGTGTGCCTCATGAAGCGCTTTGGCCTGTTTCAACCAATCACCAGTAAACGCTCCCCGTGACGTAACAGACCAACTAATCGATAATGACATTCGTTGACAACGATTTTCATAATCGATTATTATTGATTTTATCGATTAGTTGTTGCAGCCCTACGTGTGTCTCAGCTGATGTGTCCAGATGTGTGTGTGTGTGTGTTTCAGCTGATGTGTCCAGATGTGTGTCTCAGCTGATGTGTCCAGATGTGTGTGTGTGTGTGTTTCAGCTGATGTGTCCAGATGTGTGTCTCAGCTGATGTGTCCAGATGTGTGTGTGTGTGTGTTTCAGCTGATGTGTCCAGATGTGTGTCTCAGCTGATGTGTCCAGATGTGTGTCTCAGCTGATGTGTCCAGATGTGTGTGTGTGTGTGTTTCAGCTGATGTGTCCAGATGTGTGTCTCAGCTGATGTGTCCAGATGTGTGTCTCAGCTGATGTGTCCAGATGTGTGTGTGTGTTTCAGCTGATGTGTCCAGATGTGTGTCTCAGCTGATGTGTCCAGATGTGTGTCTCAGCTGATGTGTCCAGATGTGTGTGTGTGTGTGTCTCAGCTGATGTGTCCAGATGTGTGTGTGTGTGTGTTTCAGCTGATGTGTCCAGATGTGTGTCTCAGCTGATGTGTCCAGATGTGTGTGTGTGTGTGTTTCAGCTGATGTGTCCAGATGTGTGTCTCAGCTGATGTGTCCAGATGTGTGTGTGTGTGTGTTTCAGCTGATGTGTCCAGATGTGTGTCTCAGCTGATGTGTCCAGATGTGTGTGTGTGTGTGTTTCAGCTGATGTGTCCAGATGTGTGTCTCAGCTGATGTGTCCAGATGTGTCTCAGCTGATGTGTCCAGATGTGTGTGTGTGTGTTTCAGCTGATGTGTCCAGATGTGTGTCTCAGCTGATGTGTCCAGATGTGTGTGTGTGTGTGTGTTTCAGCTGATGTGTCCAGATGTGTGTCTCAGCTGATGTGTCCAGATGTGTGTCTCAGCTGATGTGTCCAGATGTGTGTGTGTGTGTGTTTCAGCTGATGTGTCCAGATGTGTGTGTGTGTGTTTCAGCTGATGTGTCCAGATGTGTGTCTCAGCTGATGTGTCCAGATGTGTGTGTGTGTGTGTTTCAGCTGATGTGTCCAGATGTGTGTCTCAGCTGATGTGTCCAGATGTGTGTCTCAGCTGATGTGTCCAGATGTGTGCGTCTCAGCTGATGTGTCCAGATGTGTGTGTCAGCTGATGTGTCCAGATGTGTGTCTCAGCTGATGTGTCCAGATGTGTGTGTGTGTGTTTCAGCTGATGTGTCCAGATGTGTGTCTCAGCTGATGTGTCCAGATGTGTGTCTCAGCTGATGTGTCCAGATGTGTGTGTGTGTGTGTTTCAACTGATGTGTCCAGATGTGTGTGTCTCAGCTGATGTGTCCAGATGTGTGTCTCAGCTGATGTGTCCAGATGTGTGTGTCTCAGCTGATGTGTCCAGATGTGTGTGTGTGTGTGTGTTTCAGCTGATGTGTCCAGATGTGTGTCTCAGCTGATGTGTCCAGATGTGTCTCAGCTGATGTGTCCAGATGTGTGTGTGTGTGTGTTTCAGCTGATGTGTCCAGATGTGTCTCAGCTGATGTGTCCAGATGTGTGTGTGTGTGTGTTTCAGCTGATGTGTCCAGATGTGTGTCTCAGCTGATGTGTCCAGATGTGTCTCAGCTGATGTGTCCAGATGTGTGTGTGTGTGTGTGTTTCAGCTGATGTGTCCAGATGTGTGTCTCAGCTGATGTGTCCAGATGTGTGTGTGTGTGTGTGTTTCAGCTGATGTGTCCAGATGTGTGTCTCAGCTGATGTGTCCAGATGTGTGTGTGTGTGTGTTTCAGCTGATGTGTCCAGATGTGTGTCTCAGCTGATGTGTCCAGATGTGTGTGTGTGTGTGTGTTTCAGCTGATGTGTCCAGATGTGTGTGTGTGTGTGTTTCAGCTGATGTGTCCAGATGTGTGTCTCAGCTGATGTGTCCAGATGTGTGTGTGTGTGTGTGTTTCAGCTGATGTGTCCAGATGTGTGTCTCAGCTGATGTGTCCAGATGTGTGTCTCAGCTGATGTGTCCAGATGTGTGCGTCTCAGCTGATGTGTCCAGATGTGTGTGTCAGCTGATGTGTCCAGATGTGTGTCTCAGCTGATGTGTCCAGATGTGTGTGTGTGTGTGTTTCAGCTGATGTGTCCAGATGTGTGTCTCAGCTGATGTGTCCAGATGTGTGTCTCAGCTGATGTGTCCAGATGTGTGTGTGTGTGTGTGTGTTTCAACTGATGTGTCCAGATGTGTGTGTCTCAGCTGATGTGTCCAGATGTGTGTCTCAGCTGATGTGTCCAGATGTGTGTGTCTCAGCTGATGTGTCCAGATGTGTGTCTCAGCT